GATTAAAATAGTTCGATCGGGCGATAGCTTGGGTCTCTAGATATACCCGAAATACCTTTGTCTTTTCCCTATTTAGGTAAAAGAGAAAAAAGCAAATGCAATCAATTTTCTCGGAACACGAGTATAAACTCGTGATATCTTAGGTAACGATAGGTAAGCACTAAACTACGAAAGTCATAATATAATATTGACAATATTAAGTTATTTAACATAGCATATAGTATCCACATAATGTCAGAACTTTAAAAAGTTATAATTTAGAAACTAGGTCAGTACGCTCAATTATGAATTCACCATCAATAATAAATTAGCAAAATACATATGTTTAAAACGAACAATTGAAAAATTAGATTTGTGCTAAATAATTTTTTACTTAAACGATTTTCGTTAAAATTTGATATAGAAATTCATATAATAACAAAAAGTATTGCAATAAACTCAATTTTTTTTGATGACAAAGTAACTTTTATTGGCCCCCATGTTAAATATTCAAGTCTCTCAAATCAGGACAATGTTTTCTTTCGGAAATATTACTGCACGTATATATCGGAGCAAAATATCTCGCACAATTTATGTACGCATTAAAAAAAAAAAAAAATAAATATTATAGTAAACCAATACATTCCTCATTACAATACTACAGTTTGGCTAACAGTATACCTTACAAATACTATCCTGAAACGTAAAATTTGCACACAGAGCCAGTATATTGTATTAAATTGATTAGTTGCATTTATAAATAAGCAAATATATAATTAGGTGCGATATTTAAAATTAAATTAAAATTGACTGTAATAAACATGGTATAATATAAATATAGTATCTAGAAATACAGCCTGTACATTATTAATCATTTTATATTATATTAATTAGTCGGAATGTTAAATAACTTAATTAACAAACAGTAGTTATACTTAATAAAATTTAAAATTTTCTTTTTCTAGCGGATACAAGTAATAAATTCGCGAATATGCCACGTAAGTGATTATTTTTATTAATATCACATGCATTTTTTAAAGTAAATAGGTAAATGAATAAAACTATATACAGGGTGATTCACTAAGCGAGATCTATGAGTAGATATCTCGCAAAATTAAAATGTCTGTAAATTGCTAAAAAATTGCTAAAATTGTTTTTAAAATTTCACCACACCTAAAAAATGTTCATGTAAATTTTTGTTTAAATTTTATGTCTATAAAATCGATACAATTATTTTTAATTTAATTTTAACAAAAATATTAAAATTTGTATACAAAACTTAAAAATTGATCAAATGATATGAAAATTTTACTAATTTTTACTTTTAAAAGTTTTCTTTTTAAATTTAAAATCTTTAAAAATACTTTTAACCAAATTAGGACAAATAACAAATAGATGTAGTTGTATTTTTTACACCCCGAATAAGTCTGAAAACAAGATTTTTCTTTTTTTTTTTCCAGTAAATTGCTGCAAAATATACAAAATCCAAACTATTCACCTCAAAGTATTTTCCTGTCAAATTTGTTTTCAGAAAACGTTCTACCATTGTAAATCCAAGTTAAACTACATGTAAAAAGTATTTACAGAAAAAAAAGATCATAAAATTTAACTTAATATTCGGGAATATAAAACATAATTTAAACTTCTACATCGTAGTCTAGGGTTTTTTAATTTTAAAATGTATGAAGTAGAACGATCTTTTTCATGTCTTATTTTGTATCATACTTAGCTCAATAAAATTGCAGTCAGTCGAGCAGGTTTATAAATAGGTATGACTTAAAACAAAGAATCTTCCACATTTTATCTATCCTTTTTTTTCTAATCTTTATTTACTCTTTTGATTTATTAAGTTACATTCTTACAATTTATCAGGTATTAACCAAAGTGTTAGTAAATGAGTATATTATTTGTATAGTTAGATTAGGTATATTTTTAGTATTTATTCCTGTGAATAATGTAAAAAACAAAATTGGTTATCTTTATTATCTTTGGAGATATTATATTGCAATGACTAGGTATATCTTTGTGAGACTCTGTATTATTTATAACCAGTGTAGACTAAATGTTGATTTATTAAAACTAACAGGTCCACGTGAAGGACAATCAGTAACTGGTAAGTTTTTTTTTTTCTTTAATACCGTGTTTTTTTCAAAGTTTGATTATATTTTTTAGATGCTGTTGTTGCGCATGTCTTTAACACTTCAAGTAAATTATAACTATATATTTTTAAGTATATTTTATTTAACTGATGAAAATAATTAAATTTAATCTCACAATTCAAACCGGCGTGAAGGTGCTCGCAGTTTATAGATCAAGATTTGTCTGTTAAGGCGTTCTCGGCTGCTAGTATAAAAACCCTGGGTCTTCCAGCTATAGTCTGTGACACGAAATCTGGTCCCTGACCGTCGCAAACCTAGTGGCCAATTCGTCCCATTAGCGCTGATAGCCGTGCTAAATACCCACAGCACTGCAATAGCTGCGCAATGTACAATAAACGATAAAGGTTAAGAACCCATGGCTATCGGGTAGGGTAAGCGGGTGTTGTGAGTCGCAATACTCAGGGGCAAGTTTTCGTGTCGTGGACTATAGATGAGCTTATGCTGCGCTTTTGGACAACAACATGTACAGCTGGCCGATATCGTTCCTGCGAAAGGCCTTACCCGAAAGGTTAAACCCGTGCAAATTTTCGTNATCTAAAAGATTGACGAATTTGTAACATCCGGAGATTTAAATAATTATTTGAAAAAGAAAAATTGATGATTTTTACACTAATGCATTTACAGTAATATATATATATTAATTTTATTTTTATTTATTTACGGGACTAGCCCAGATTGCAATGTACATACTTAGTATCTACATATACAACAAAATATTATATAACAAATATATATATATATTTGTATATATATAATTTGATAACAGTTAATTAAAAAGTTTAATCGAAAGAATGTTCGGTTTTAGCGGTGCACATAAAACGGATAAATGGAAAATGGAGAAGGTGATTAGATGAATATTAAGGGATGTGGAATGGGACCAATGAACGTGTGCGATGGCAGAAAACATTAAAGGTGATACGGGAAGAAGCTCGGGGCAATCAATTTTAAAGGAAAGAAGGTTAGATAGGAAAGAAATTCATGCAAAATGCTGACGGTCAGAAAGTCTATCCATTGATAAAAATTGTTGGAAAGGGGTTTAATCATGAGGAGAAAAGGGTATATGCAGTTTAAAGGTAGCATGAAGAGAGGAATTTTCTTTAGACCCTTTATATCATGTAACGAAAGGCATCAGTAGAAGGATCACAGAGCACAGAGCCATATTCGAGAATAAAACGCGCAAATTTTATGTTTTGTTTAAGATATAGTACGTAAAATACTGTCCAAAATTATCGGACTAAAGAAAAACAACTCAGAGATGATAATACATATGTTCATACAATGAGAGCATAGTATAAATATATATTATAAAAAAAATGAATTATAAATTATAATAATACATAATTTAAATTTGTTTTTTTATATTAGCTCAACCACTTACAGGTAAGTTTTTTTTTTTTGATATTATCGATACATACATATTTAATAAATTAGAGAGCCTACTATAGTAAAAGAAGAGACAATAGTTAATTTTTTTTATAAGTTTTTTCAGTGACATTGTATCATTTTTTGTTTTAAATACGAATGTGCTTATGTCAGCCACAAAACCTGTCTAGAATTTTCAACAAAACACAAATTAAAATAACCCACCTGTTTTTCAATAAATATATTAAATTATCTAATAAAACATTTAATAATTAACTAATTAAGTTTCATTCAGGAATTTTAACGATTATAAAGAACTTGATAATCATGAACAATATCTACATAATATCCTAATTATGTTTTGTTTTTTAATTAAAAAAATATATATTAATCTAAAGATGTAGACGAGTAATTTTCAAACTTCTACCCATTATTCAGACCAAATAATTTATAAAACCGGATCAAATCACTTTAGTATTATATTTAAATATAGTTATCTATAGTTATTCTATAGTTATCAATATCATAGACATGCGCACGGATACAGTCTTAACGGCCCTAGCTGTTCCTATATTAATGTTTAATTCCTTGAATCTCGATTTCCTAATTTGCTCTATAAAAATATGTTTTTATTACTTTTCATTACAAAATTTGTTGTAAAATATCTATAAATAATAAGACACAGAATTGTTGTATATGCCAACATAAATATATAAACATCGTTTATATTAAATAATAATACTTGTGAGTACTAATAG